AGTTAGCCATGCCCTGACTTTGATCAGCCCAGAGGTTGTTTCAGTGTTCGATCTGTGAGTTAGCCATGCCCTGACTTTGATCAGCCCAGAGGTTCTTTCAGGGTTTGATCTGTGAGTTAGCCATGCCCTGACTTAGATCAGCCCAGAGGTTGTTTCTGGGTTCGATCTGTGAGTTAGCCATGCCCTGACTTTGATCAGCCCAGAGGTTGTTTCAGGGTTCGATCTGTGAGTTAGCCGCGCCCTGACTTAGATCAGCTCAGAGGTTCGAAAAGATTGGTGGTTGATTTTCAATCCTCAACCACTCCCTATTTGAGTATTCCCCCCCCCCCCCCTTTTCTAATGTACAAACGATGTTTAGCAAAGGTGATTACCAACCCATTAACGCAGGCATGTTGCTGAACAAATGGAGAAGCTCTGGAGTCAATTTGTTTGCATTTTCAATCGTCTTTTGCCTTAAAACCAAACAAATAAAAACATATAAAAATCATATTCTCGCTCAAATTATTCTTTTCTAACTCTCGTATTCAATCATTACATCCCTACACTTTTCTTGTTTGGTATCATATATCCTTCCTTACTTATTACCCCATCCTTACCAAAGCTCTAGTCCATCTTCCAACAGATAAACGTGCGGTGGCTACGAAGAAAATAGAACAGGTTAACAAACTTTTTAAAAAAAACCTATACTGTGGCTATGGACATAGTACACCGGTTTTCACAGACTTCGGAAAGATTGGAATTTTTTAAACCTCTTCTATTGAAACACGATTATACAGGATATTAAATCTTTTCAATGACATTTTAGGAAACCACAAAGTTTTCATGGGCACTACTTATAGAATGTCATGAAAACGCCTTACAGCGCTTCTCAATCACGCGCGAAATCGTGAAAACATTTTCGAAACATAATAGAGTTTTGGTGGACGTCAATCAAAGGGTTTCCCAGCATTGTCGGAAAAACACAAAGCTTTTAAGGGCACGTGCCTATGGAATGTCATGGAAACGCATTGATTGACGTCAACCAATATTATATTGACTATTGTGTAACTTTATCAAGCGCTTACTCTCATTTGGAGACCTGAAAATCTATAACATCTGAGTTTTGAAAATTTTCTCAGTTCTGATTGGCTAGCACTTTTTCTCAGATCAGTTGGCTGCAACCGGATCATATAAATGAAAACACAGACATACTAACCTGTGTGATATCAGTGCTTAGCTGGATGATAGGAAGAAGAAAAGGATACAAACTGACACTTTCTGTTCCCAAGCCCTGAGAATGGAGAGAGTAATGTAAGACCTTTTATAATATATCTCACGACCTAGCAGTGTGTGTCTGGTCGGGTGTGTGAAGTAGCGTAGACCCTATGCAAAACCATACAAAAGAAACCTGTCTTTTCCACTACATCCCTGAAGTCATAGAGTGCAAACAATCCGTGAAACGCTAATTACTAACTAGTACAAAATAGTGCTAATTAAACAATAGAAAACAATAGAATGTGCATGAAATTGTGCTATTTAGCATTACTAAAGTTTCACGGTTATATTGTTTGCACTCTATCAGCCAGTATTTGAAACAGTATACATACATTAGTAATAGACCTTTCCAAAATTCGCTCGAGTGACCACGAAACAATGCTTGCAAGTCGAGGTTGGACTCAATGTGTTCATACATTTACTGTATTTTATCAAGTCCATCCTTGACTTAGGCCTCGTCCACACTAGTCTCCCCCACAGCCGCTTTCAGTGTCGTCACGCAACGCTTTCTCCCCTGAGTAGCTACTCAGGGGAGAAAGCGTTGCGTGACGACACTAAGAACGGCTGTGGGGGAGACTACGTCCACACGTATCCTATACGCATCCGCATATCAAAATCTTAGGTCAACAGAGCATGCGCACTTAAGCATGACCATGAGCCCGCGCTAAAGACTGGATCAGACACTGTTACGTCAGCGTACTCAAAAATATACGGATTCGACCGTCCACACGATGCCGGATTCACACGGTATTCAAAAATTTCCACTCTGAAGACCGTATTCAAAAAGTTGCGGATTCGTCTACCGTATTCGCCGGATACGTGTGGACGGAAGGCCAATCTGCAACAAAAAAGTTGCGGATTCAAAAATATCCGGATACGTGTGGACGGGGCCTTAGAGTCATTGTTTCGGGAAAGTCCCATTGATAAAATTTCCAGAGTTTTAGGACAAATACATGAGAGTTACGAAAACGAAAAATGACTATACCTGTATGAGATGATTGAGCGTGGCAAGTATTGCGCACCGTAGCATATTGTGTTGTTCAGATTCATCCCATAGATGAGGCAGGTACATTGTTAATAAACCCGCGAAGGGACGGACCTAACAAAACACAAGAGTCTATGAGACAGTGTGGGACTGGTGATGATAAACATGGAAATGAGGGTAACTATCCTAGAGTAATCAAATAGAAGTAATCGAGGCTTTGCACCATCACGTGATAGCAGCCATGACAGGAGGCACAACAATACAGTCTTTTTTCGCTGCGAAACTGAATTCTGTTTCATGTAAGCCAGATTAGACAAGATTCGATTGTTCCCAACATCTGTCATGGCTACCATCACTTGATAGTACAAACCTTCTATAATCCTTGTTTTACTAGGGTAGCACTTAATCTACGGACACACGGTGCAACATTACGCGCAATGCTGCATGCAATTGATGTTGTGAGCCATGACACACGGTGCAACATTGCGCGCAATGTTGCATGCAATTGATGTTGCCAGCCATGACGCGCGACGCAATTTGTTGCACGCCACGTTGCTGAATTAGAAATCTATCCTACTTCAGCAAGATTGCCTGCAATGTTGTGCGCAATGTTGCACCGTGTGTCTGTGCCTTTAGCTACCTTTGAGTCCACTCTTTCAATCAGGGTTGATAATACATGGAGGACGTGCATCTGTAGGTGAGAAGAAAATAATAAACTACACCTTTTGCTGTTCATTAACAGAAAATGTACATTCATTTGTGCCAATAGTTGT